TGGCTCACACCTATAATCCTAGCACTTGGGAGGCCGAGGTGGGTGGACTGCCTGAACTCATGGGTTCGAGACCAGCCTGAGCTGTAGTCCCAGCTAATTGGGAGGCTGAGACAAGTGGATCACTTGAACCAAAGAGTTTGAGGTTGCCATGAGCTAAAACACCATGGCACTCTACCAAGGGTGACCAAGACTCAGTCTCCAAAAAATAAATAAATAAATAAATTTTTAAAAAAGAAAGACAGAGTCCCCCTCTGTTGTCTGGGCTGGAGTGCTTATTGCAGCCTTGAATTCCTGAGCTCAAGTGATCCTCCCACCTCAGCTTCCCGAAGTGCTAGGACTCAGGTATGAGCCACTATGCCTGTCCAGACACATTTCTTTAAGAAAATGAAATAGGGCTGGGCATGGTGGCTCATCTCTGTAATCCTAGCCCTCTGGGAGGCCAAGGCGAGTGGACTGCTTGAGCTCACAAGTTCAAGACCAGCCTGAACAAAAATAGAGACTGCTGTCTCTACTACTAAAAACAAAAAGTGAGGCAAGAAGATCACCTGTGCCCAAGAGTTGGAAGTTGCTATGAGCTATGACGCCATAGCACTCTACCCAGGGCAACAGCTTGAGTCTCTGTCTCAAAAAAAAAAAAAAAAAAAAAGAAGATGTCTCAGTGCCTGTAGCACTGTGGTTACAGCGCCAGCCACATACACCAAGACTGGCAGGTTCAAACCCAGCCTGGGCCAGCTAAACGATGACAACTGCAACAAAAAATAGCCAAGCAATTGTGGTGGGCACCTGTAGTCCCAGCTACTTGGGAGGTTGAGGCAAGAGAATCCCTCAAACCCAGGAGTTTGAGGTTGCTGTGAGCTGTGACACAACAGCAAGGCACTCTACCAAGAGTGACATAGTGAGACTGTGTCTCAAAAAAAAAAAAAAAAAGAAAGAAAGAAAAGAAAAGAAAATGAAATAGGAGAAAATCGAATGTCAATGAATTTACTATAAAGGGAGAGGTTAAAGTAGTGATTGATACATAGAAAACTAACCAAATTATAAAAGACATCAATTCTAGAGAAGACAAAATATTATTCAGGAAAAGAAAATTAATCATAGCTTACTTTGGATCAGCCCTAAACTGCCTTCATAATAATGAAAACACTGAATACTAATACTAACACTAATACTAATACTAATATGACTAAAATGAACTATTTTGAGAATACGGCAGGGAAGGAGGGAAAATCTACGTACTGAGGTATGTTGAAAGAAAGCCAATTTGTCCCTAAAATTGATAGTGCCAGCTCGGCACTGATAGCTCAGTGGTTAGGGTGCTGGCCACATGCACAGGAGCTGGGAGGTTTGAACCTCGCCTGGGCCTGCTTAAAAACAAACAACAATGACAACTACAACAAAATAAACAAACAGGCTCGGTGCCTGTGACTCAAGTGGCTAAGGTGCCAGCCACATACACCTGAGCTGGTGGATTCGGATCCAGCCTGGGCCCACCAAACAATGATGGTTGCAACCAAAAAAATAGCCAGGCACTGTGGCAGGCGCCTGTAGTCCCAGCTACTTGGGAGGCAGAGGCAAGAGAATTACTTGAGCCCAGGAGTTAAAGGTTGCTGTGAGCTGTGATGCCACAGCACTCTACCCAGTGTGACAGCTTGAGGTTCTGTCTCAAAATAAATAAATAAAAATAAACAAACAAACAAAAAATAGCCGGGCATTGTGGCAAGCACCTACAGTCCCAGCTACATGGGAGGCTGAGGCAAGAGAATCACTTAAGCCCAAGAGTTTAAGGTTGTTATGAACTGTGATGCCATGGCACTCTACCAAGGGTGACATAGTAAGACTCGGTCTCAAAAAAAAAAAAAACAAACAAAAAAGAGTTCCTCGCTTGTAGCTCAGTGGCTAGGGCACCAACCATATATACCAAAATTAACAGGTTTGAATCCAGCCTGGCCTGCCAAAGAACAATGACAACTACAACTAAAAAATAGCTGGGCGTTGTGGCAAGCACCTGTAGTCCCAGCTACTTGGGAGGCTGAGGCAAGAGAATCGCTTGAGCCCAAGAGTTAAAGTTGCTGTGAGCTATGATGCCATAGCACTCTACCGAGTGTGACAAAGTGAAACTCTGTCTCAAAAAAAAAAATAAAATAAAATAAAATTGGGTCAACTATCCTATTAGGTTTAAATTTTGCATTTCCAGGATGTGTGGCAGCTAATACTTTCAGTCTCTGGCATGCCTACTGAGAACATAAAAGTTCTCCTGGAACCAACAAATTATTTCCCTTCCAACACAATTATAAATCTGAGAGCTGAATAGCACCCTAGAGATTATTTTGTGGTCCACAATCCCTCCCAATTAAGGGATCCCATCTAAAACTACTCAACATTTTGGGCAGGAAGGTATGTTAATCTTTAAGTCCCACATGAGAGTGCTGCACCCATAGTAGGCTCTTTAATACATGTTTAATGAAATCTAAAATGGGCCCATTTCATTAATTTTCTTGTTCTTCCCAGGCTTTAGCTGTAACACTCACTGAATCTATAATTGAAGACTTGCATGCTTCTTTTGTTCATTAACCAATGCACAAAAAGAAATTCAGTAAGAGAAACTCCGTGATAAATCAAATGTTTGAATCCATTAAAGTAATTTCTCTTAATAGGTTAAAAACTCGCTCGGTGCCTGTAGCTCAAGCAGCTAGGGTGCCAGCCACATACACCAGAGCTGACGGGTTCGAATACAGCCAGAGCCTGCCAAACAACGACAACTACAACCAAAAAATAGCCAGGCATTGTAGTGGGCGCCTGTAGTCCCAGCTACTTGGGAGGCTGAGGCATGAGGATCGCTTTAAGCCCAAGAATTAGAGGTTGCTGTGAGCTACCCGACCATGGCACTCTGCTGAGGGCAACATAGTGAGACTGTTTCAAAAAAAAAAAAAAAAGGGTGGCACCTGTGGCTCAGTGAGTAGGGCACTGGCCCCATATACCAAGGGTGGTAGGTTTGAACCAGCCCCAGCCAAACTGCAACAAAAAAATAGCCAGGGGTTGTGGTTGGCACCTGTAGTCCCAGCTACTTGGGAGGCTAAGGCAAGAGAATCGCCTAAGCCCAAGAGCTGGAGGTTGCTGTGAGCTGTGACGCAATGGCACTCTACCAAGGGCGACAAAGTGAGACTGTGTCTCAAAAAAAAAAAAAAACCAACTGTAGTTCCTAAAAGGCAAGTCCTATGCCAAGTCTGACTTGCAAGAGGCAGCAGGGTAGCCTAAACACACAAGTAAGCATACAACAACATAAATGCTGTTAAGGTCAATACTTTAAGGAAAATGAAAATCAAGTCTTTGCTAGTTTGCTTATGATCTATAAAGGATTTCCAATTTATCCAGCACTCACATGTTTTCAATTTCTAGTATGATTTTTTAGAACAAATAGTCTTGCATCATTTATACCTTTCTACTTACAACTGGGGTGCTCACAGGCTTAATCATAGTAATGTAGTAAGACTTGTTATTATTCTAATTATTTTCCCTCCAGTTAAAAGCCTGTGATCCCATCTGATTTCCCACAATATGAAATGATAACAAGAACAAATCCTCTGGAGTGGTAACCACCAATAATTCTACTTTACTCAAGTATGTATTCCAAAACAGTGCATATTTACAACATGGTCCTACTTAGTATTCCTATTACAATGCATCTGTTGTAGGGACTTTTATAATACATGCTAGGTCATAAGGTATACATTTCCAAATCGCCTTTCCTGTTTTGCTGAAAGGGAGCGCACTCTTAATCCTTCAACAACACAATTAAAGCTTCCCTAACTAATTTTCTTTGGGCAACAATTTAAATTCCCACTTCCTCCTAAATATCTCTGGACAGCAACTTCTGGCAATCCATCTGTCTCTTTCATCACAGCTTCTTTTCATAACTAACGGGTCAAGTTCCTTTCCTCCATTTCAACACGATGCACACACAGTACTGTAGCCCTGCCACCATAGCCCACTGCTGAATGCCGGAATATAACATATTGAATTTCACTGTCCTTCATTGTTTCCAGTTTAACTGCCATTTTACCACCAGGCACACAAGAGAAATGTGTTCCCACAGGCATCTTATGAATTTCCAAAGCAGCTATTCTTTGTGGATTTACAAAACATGTGCCTTCTCTGAATTCCCTTCATTACCACAGAAACGGCTTTCGGAAGCCGAGATTTTTTTTTTAACTACCCTAAGCAAAAATAACCAAATTAATTCTAAAAACATTTCCTCAGCAAATTTAATACTAAGGGTCTTTTCATACAGCAGTGAAGAAACATCAGGGCAAAGATTTTAAATACTGCTCTTGGTCTTCCCAATTAAAATGAAAAATTTTCAATCCACAAAGATTATTTCATCAAATAACCTTTCTTCTCAGGCTATGCAACAAGGACTACCCAACCCACTGTAAAATAACCAGCTGGCCGTGGCTTGTGCACAACGTCCTAAATCTTCCTAAGACACCCTTCCCCCTAACTTTGGGTTCACAGACACACATAAGCCCTCAGTAAACCCCACACCTGGCCAATGAAGTGGACTATTTGTCTGCCACAAAGGCCGGCCCGCGCCTCGTGCACGGCGGCCTCTGCACACATGTGCTGGGCTGACAAGTGCGGAGCTGCCCTTCCTAGATGAAAGCTGGAGGCTCGGACTGAAAACCACGTTTTTCCCAACCACTGCCTTCTACCCGCAGCCACTCGTCTCGGTGACAGACGGCCGAACCAAAGCGCCAGGTCGAAGCTAGCAACCCCCTCTGAGGGCGCGTCATATATGGCCACGCTCAGCCCCACTCTCCCTCCGCCTCATCGTCCTTTTTCCTTCCCCTTCTTTCTTGCCTCAATAAATCCCGTCGATACTTCATTCTGCCCAAACCTAGCCGCCAGGGAACACCCTCCTCCGGCAGCCGCGCCCCCGGCGCCTCAACTCGCAGCGGCCAGCGACCCCCACGACCCTCGGCCGGACCAATCCCACGGCTCACCTCCTCCTCGCTCTCGCTTCGAAAACACAAGCATGCGGCCCGCTTCTTATAGCCGTCGCCGTCGTAGGTGCGGGTCTGGTTCGACTTGAGCTTCATCATCCTCCGAGCCCGGGTGGGGGTGCGGTGTGGGTCGCGAGAGTCGAGGGGTGGGGAGCCTGCTCCGGACGATCGCGCGCGCGCGCGCGCCCCCGGCTCAGCCAAGGGAAGAAGGGAGGATCGCTTTTCCGCTACACGGCTCTGCCGCTGGCCCGTCGCGGTCGCCTCATTGCCCCTGACCCAGGTCCCGCGCCGTCGCCGCCGCCGCTGTCACAGCTGCCACAGCCGCTGCCGCCACGGCCGCCGCCCCCTCTGCTACCGCCAGCCCAGACGACGACCGCGCCGCCATCTTGGGCGCGCTGCGTCAGCGGCGTAAGGCCGCGCCGGCTTGCGGAACGGCTGCGCGCTCGGAGCGCAGGCCGCTTTGGAGAATCGCGCCCTCCCAGTCCGCGCGGCGTAAACGAGCGTCTAGAATTAGAGCGCTGAGCTACTGCAGGCGGCTGCTACGTCGGCAGCGTAGGCGTGGGATGCTGGGGCGCGCGCGGAGGAAGCCTGGGGAAATCCGGTGTTTGCGCTGGACCGCCTAGCGGTCGGCACCGCGGGTCAGCCGAGGGGGAAGCGGGAAGTTGCCCAAGGTGACACCGCGTATTCGCGGACTGGGATGAGCCAAGGTCATGCTACTCGCCCCCTGGCCCTGCTGGTCTGTTTGGGAGAGGATGAAGGGGGAGGTCTGGAGAAGATAATAAGATGCAGTTAAACGCAATGGAGAGTGCAGCCTGAGACGTGTAGCAATTGGAACTGCAGAGAAACGTGGCGTGGGGGCCCAGGGATCGGCGGCAGGAGGAGCGTCGTGCACGTTTTGTGAACAGCTTGAAGCTCTGGAAGTTGTGGGCATGTCGTCCATTAGAACAAATACTTACCCTGCAATCCTTTATTGGTGCAAAAAGAAAATGCTTCTCTTAAGGTAAATGAAAGGGCCAGTAAAGAAGGTGTGTGAGTGTGCACACATAATGTAAATCATAAAACATTTCTGACGATAAACGAGGAGTATATATTGTGGATGTCCGCTTCTCCAGGAAAAGACGCTCTCAAGAAAGGAAAAATGGGGTGGCGCCTGTGGCTCAGTGAGTAAGACGCCAGCCCCATATACCGAGGGTGGTGGGTTTGAACCCGGCCCCGGCCAAACTGCAATAAAAAATAGTCGGACATTGTGGCGGGTGCCTGTAGTCCCAGCTACTGGGGAGGCTGAAGCAAGAGAATCGCCTAAGCTCAAGAGCTGGAGGTTGCTGTAAGCTGTGACGCCACGGCACTCTACCGAGGTCGACAAATTGAGACTCTCTTTTTAAAAAAGGAGGCTCCGCGCCTGTGGCTAAAGCAGCTAAGGCGCCAGCTACATGCACCTAAGCTGGCGAGTTGGAATCCAGCCCTGGCCCACCAAACAATGACAGCTACAACCAAAAAAAAAAAAAAAAAAAATTCTGGGCGTTGCTGGGCGTTGTGGGAGGTGCCTGTAGTCCCACCTACTTGGGAGGCAGAGGCAGGAGAATCGCTTGAGCCCAGGAGTTGGAGGTTGCTGTGAGCTGTGATGCAATGGCACTCTACCCAGGGCCAACAGCTTGAGGCTCTGTCTCAAAGAAAAAAAGAAAGAAAGGAAAAATGGGGTATGACCTGTGAATATTCTCAGCTGCCCATACCAAATCTAGTACCATATAATGCCCTAATCCCCAAAATCTTGTGCAGGATTTGGCTGTGAATTGCTTATTACCCTTCTTGAGTTTGCTTGTATTTAGCATAATCAAAAAAAGATAAGAATTTTTGGCTCAGTGCTCGTAGCTCAGTGATTAGGGCGCCGGCCACATACACCAGGGCTAGCAGGTTTGGGTTTGAACCCAGCCCCAGCCTGCTAAACAACAATGACAACCACAACAACAAAAAATAGCCTGGCATTGTGGCGGGCCCCTGTAGTCCCAGCTA